CCGAATACGTCGCTATATTTGGTGCAAATAGTTGATAGCTGTTTATGGAGTTGTGGTGGAAAGTTTCTTGAAAGTTGTGTAAGTACTGATTTTTCCCTGTTTTCTAAATATGTTTTTATTACTTCGTAATTTTAAAGGTGTTCATATTTTAATTTATTTATACTGACTACTTGATCGGTATTTGTCGTATTGAGTAGTCTTATGAATGTATTTTGGGATGTTGCTATGGTATTTGCTATATAAATACCATGCTGAATTTCCTTGTTTGGAATCAACGCGCTGTCTTCTATTGAATCTATTTTAATTTTTCGTACAACTTGGGATCTTGCTGGAAGAATAATGGAGTTATTGCCAGAACTGTATGTTATTGGAACACAATTATTGGTCTAATTATAAGCCAATCTTCTGATGGCTTGAAGTCTAACTGACAGTTGTATTTTTGATGAAATCTATGCCTATTATTCCATAACAAGGAATTGCAAATTTTGGATTTACGATATGAAAATCATGTGGAATTATGTATTTATCTGTTTGTATTTCTATAGATGTTAATTCTTTTGATTTGGTAATTTCTTGGCTTATTTCTTGTATATTTATTATATGATATTTTTGGATGAACTCAAAATTATCGGAATCTTCCTTTAAAATGGATATATCTGCACCAGTGTCTATTAAAAAGACAAGTTATTTTTCTGTTGTAACATTTCTAAAAGTAACAAATGCATTTAAACTGAGATTGATAGTGTGAACTTTCGTGTTATGTATTGCTGAGTATCTAAAGGTTCTTGGGAGTTTCTGAAGCATTGTGGGCTGTCCTGACGTAGTTACTATTATTATTATTATTACTATAATTATTTGAGTTATAACCTCCATTTTGTTGGTTATTTCCGCAACTGTCAATGACAACAGACCTGTTTTTTATCTCTCCTCCGCGAAACTAAAAATACACCACAAATAGCCGAATTATATTTCGCGGAAAAACGCTCAGAGTGTACGCTTGGGTACTTGTGCTCAAGTGCTTTGGAAATGATCAATTACTAAGTCTTCTAATTACTAAGATAAGTGATAATCAAATAAAGGCAACATGTAAAAGCGTAAAGCTATAATGAGCAAGACTCGGCGGCAACAACAAGACGAACATCGGCTCTCTTAAATCAGAAATAACGCTTACTTCTCCATAAGAGCGGAAGAGTTAACAGAACCGGCAACAACTGCAACACTGGAAGCGAATACGGAGGGAGCACGCTTGCTCTCTCCCGGCTTATTATGTCCAAGCGGCACATCACAAAAACAGCCGTGGAGTGCCCAATGCCCGTTCCCGAGCCCTACAACATAACCAACGATCTGCTCATTACAACAACGACCAGCACAATGCCCTCGTTTAAAACGGTGACTTCGACCCTAACAACGTCAACAACCACCACAACAACCACATCAACTGCAGTTTCTATTTCGTCAGCTCTTACTGACAAGCTAGCCCCTACCCAACCCAGAAATAAAAAAAATGTTAACGGATCATTAATACAAACAGGAATCGATCGATATGTGCAAATAAAAAGAAAACTAAGCCCACAAGCAGCTAAAAGAACAAATGCATCAAAACTTGGCGAGAAAATTGGAAACATTGTGTCAAACAATGCGCTGACAAGTAATCAATTTATATTGTTAGTGATCCAAAAGATGATGATAATACCGCTCAAACACCTAGGGCCGAGCTACCAAGGCCACCACCAATTTTTGTAGTCAGGCAAACTGTGCTGAATTGATTAAAAAAATAACTGATCCAATTGGAGCAAACAAGTTCTATGTAAAGTCCATAAAAAGGGGTAACATCAACGAAACAAACATACAAGTGAACGACGAGCAAGATTACCGATCAGCGGCCAATCACCTCGTTAACGAAAAAATTAAGTAATACACCTACCAAATAAAAAGTTGCAAAGGATTACAAGTAGTTATGAAAGGTATTGAAGCAACAGTCCCTATCTATGAGATTATAGCTGAACTTAAAGAAAAGTTCACCCAATCTATAAGCTTCAATATCTATTGCACCGTAGGATCGCCGTGGAGGAACCCCACAAGCGGAATGAGCATATGCAATGTATGAATAGCCAGGAATACGGCCACACGCGTTGCCTGCGGGGATGCACATTCAACTGAAGCCTGCCCTATAAACAAGGAGAATCACTCTGCCAAAAAATGTAGTAATTGTGCGGGAAACCACACTGCAAATTACAGAGGTTGTCCTATCTATAAAGAGTTGAAAAGTCGACTAGGCCAACCTATAATTGCATCTCGAAATCATGTAACCCGAAACCATTACCCATACCACGACCCCAAAGTTTCTTTAGCACAGGCGTTAAGTTATAACAACTGGACTTATGCCTCAGCAGCTAAGCTGACAGGTCAGCAAACCACTGCTGATACAGTGCGACAACCAATATTGAACCACAGTCCAGAAACTACTGGCTAACATACAACTGCAAACACACAATTGCCTAACGGCGTAGAAGCAATGCTGGTAGCTATAACCAACACAATGGTAGCAATACAGCAAACGCTACAGGAACTTATGCGCTCTCAAAAGATGCACAGAAATCTGCTTAGATGGTTTCCTTAAAAATATGTTTCTGGAATGCGAACGGCATTTCACAGCACAAATACGAGCTCTCGCAGTTCCTAGATCAGTATGACATTGACGCCATGCTTATATCAGAGACTCACCTAACAAACAAAAACTATTTTCACCTTAATGGCTATATATTTTATAAAACAAACCATACTGATGGCAAGGTTCATGGCGGTACTGCCATCATTTGCAACAGCCTGTATACAAGCTACATCAATACACATCGATACCAGAAGCGGTTTCTGAAACTTATCAGCTGTATACTGCCCTCCACGCTTTTCCATTTCCGAAGATGAATTTGTACAGTTCTGTGACCTATTAGGTGACCGTTTATTAGCGGCTGGTGATGGCTTCCCAAACATGTACCAAAAAGAAGAGATTGACAGCTCAGTTGAAGAACTAGTGTCTGTTATGTCACTAGCTGCACAATACTCCACCCCTATTATACCGGCTTGTAATCCTGATAACAACTGTCGGGCTTCTGGGCATATTAACGAACTGCTACGAACTGCTAATAAGGGAAGGCTTCGGAGGGAGTGGCAAGCCCATAGATCGCCTACCTCGAAGGAGCGGCAAACTATCTTCTACACACAGCCTTAGAGGAAGAATTTAATCGATCTCAATTATCCTATGTGCAGCATCTCTCCCCAAACAGCAAACGATATCCACTGTGGAAAGCTAAATCAGGTATATGTCCACCAATCGAAAGTAAGTCGCCATTACACACACAAACAGGAGAATGGGCTCGCAGTAATGAAGAGAGGGCAAATATATTTGCCGCACATCTAGAAAGCGTTTTCAAACCCCTCCCACCAACAAATAGCTTTGTGCTCCCAACAAACATCTTTCCAGAGGCTCCACTGCCTAGCACATTCCAATCAAGAGATGTGATAAAAATGATAAGGGCTGAAGAAAAAAATAAAGCGCCTGGACACGATTTAATCTCCCCTAAAATGATTATAAAATTGCCGAACTGTGCAGTAAATCTTCTCATCACAATATTAAACAGCAAGATGAAATTGGGCTATTATCCACAACAATGAAAAAAGTCTGTCATCACTATGATCCACAAAGCCGGAAAGGAGGGGTTAACGAGAAAAAGAGTAAACACGTCAGCTTTACCCCAAACCGACTCCCCACTATCTCTGAAAAAAAATTCATATTCCACAAACAACTGAAGTAACATATCTTGGAGACCACCTTGATGGACGGCTTACTTTTCGAAAGCACATCGAAGCTAAAAGAACAGAACTTAAATTAAAGGCAAGGTGCACCGTGGTACATACGGAATGAAAACATTCACAGAGATTTAAATGTGGGATCTGTTAAAGACGAAATCGACAATGTAAAAGCAAAGTATACGATCAAGCTACAGGCTCATCCAAATAGGCTTGCGCGGTCTTTAACCTGGAACACTAGCCATTCACATTCATTATAATTATTATTATAATAACCACGACCATTGCCTTTGCGGCGATAATTACCTCTGTTGTTATTACCACTGTAGGCATGTCCTCTGTGACTGTAAAAAATGGTGCTCGCATTTCCAGTCATTTCTGTGCTGCAATTAATATATTTGCTCACAGCTTAGTTCATTGTTTTGAACGTTTAGCTTTTGCTGGTCACAATTTTTCGTCATGACTCGTATGGCTTCCTTTGTGCTAAACTTATCTGCATGCTCGTAGGGTAATCCCTCATCGATATATGCAGATTCTAACAATTTTCAAAGATTGTCAATGTCTGTTGTAAATTGCGTGGCCGTGTTACCCTTTTGGTAAACATTGGTTATTTTTGCTTTAATTACATCAGAGGTTTCGTACAAAAGTACGAGGGTGGTCTGATAAGTACTTTTGAGGCTTCCAAAAGAAAAAAGAAAATTTTGGAAAAGTGGCGATCTTTTTCTCAACATAATCTCCTTTTAGCGATGATCAAACTTCTTTAACCCGTCTGAAAAATACGTTTTCTCGAGGTCTGCAAAATAGGCCTCTGTGGCGGCGACGACCTCCTCATTCGACGCAAATTTCTGTCCAGCGAGTGACTTTTTCAAGTTTGGAAACAAAAAGAAGTCACACGTGGCCAAATCTGGAGAATATGGTGGATGGGGTAGCAGTTCGTAGCCCAATTCGACCAATTTGGCCTTGGCGAGGGCGGAAGTTTGCGCCGGTGCGTTGTTATGATGGAAGAGCACTTTTTTCTTCGCCAAAAGCGGCCGTATTTTCGGAGGCGAATCGGCCAAATAATTTGCCGTAGTACAGTCCGTTTTGCCATTCTCCAGGTAGTCAATGTAGATCACACATTGTGAATCCCAAAAAACGGAGGCCATCACCTTTCCGGCCGATCGGACAGCCTTCGCCTTCTTCGAAGCAGGTTCTCAGGGTGAAGTCCACTGTTTAGACCGTTCCTTGGTGTCTGGTGAGTACCAGTGGATCCATGTTTCGTCGATGGTCACGAAAAGACGCAGAAACTCCTTCGGATTGCGCTTAAACAGCGTCAAACACTGCTCTGAAGTGGTCTCACGGTTGCGTTTGTTGTCTGGAGTGAGCAAACGCGGCACCCATTGCGCCGACAGCTTTCTCATGCCCAAAATTTTATGCAGGATATGACCCACGCGGTCTTTTGACATGCCTACTGTCTCAGCTATCTCGCGTATCTTCAATCGGCAGTCTGCCAATACGAGATCGTGGATTTTTGTCACGTTATCCTCCGTGGTAGACGTTTTCGGGGCACCTGGGCGTGGTTCATCAAAAACCGACGTGCGACCACGTTGAAACTCGGTAAACCAATTTTTGACGGTCGCCATCGAAGGAGAAGAGTCACCGTACACAGCATCCAAGCGCTCTTTGATTTCGCTGCGCGATTTCCCTTCCAAAAACAAGAATCGAATACCAGATCGATATTGCCCTTTCTCCATTTTTCTAAAATCAGCGGACACGTCCGATTCCATCGGCAGTCAAAACAAAACTACGAGTCTGATTCGGCTGAAATTTCGACAGTAGCCTTCTACGAGAATGTACTACACGAAAGTGACGCCATCGGGCGGTGAGGCTAAGTACTTATCGGACTGCCTTCGTATCTTTTAACTTTCTGATATTAGCATCTATAGTGGTTTCATTACTCACTTTGTGTAGGGTTGATCCACTTATTTTTGATTTAATAGCCTCTACAGCAAATTGTTCGTATTGTCCTTTAGTCATTTTCACCAGGTTTATTGCCGTAATGAATCTTTGAAGATTTATTTTTCTTCCGTCAAATTCAGGCACCGGTCCAGGGCTTTTGCTCTATTACACTGTTAATGGTATCAGAATCTGACTGTTCTTGATCTGATGATTCCGATTAAATGAGAACAGCGGGGACAGTGAGGTTATTTATGCCTTTTTTTTCTTGACTTGCAGAGTCAGAATCTTCTGTCTCTGCTGGATCGTCTTCAGATTCTAGGGTCGCCGGAGAATTTAGGATTGTCGGTACAGAAATTGTTAAGTTGTAGCTTTGCTTTATTGTTATTAAACTCGATTGCTGTCCGTTTAGGAACTTGGATACTTGAGTCCAATGGTCTTTATCTAATTTTTCTCTGTTGCCGTATATTAGCGTGCGCGCGGGTAACTAATATTTTGGAGTGTTTATTTAATGTGGCTCGTTGTTTTGGCCGATTTGTGTTAGCGACTTATACGATTTTTCGAAGTCACTTTTTAGGATATTTAATTCCTTATATAATTCACTCCATTCCATTATTGTATGGATATGAATTATTTTCTGTATTCTACCATTATTAGGTTCCTATCCAATTTGGCGTGTTCCTCTATTACTGATTTCACCAGAACGCCCGGTATAGTGCTTACTACAATCGACTTTTGCGTAGCTCAGCAATGTATCGGGGTGAAAAGTCCACATTAAAAGTGTCCATATATGTAATTCTAATTCGTAAATGCTAATTGGAACGGTGGAGATAAGTGTGTCCCTAAAAAAGGATCCCTCTCATAAACTTTCTGAATTATCTTCTGGGTACTCATAATGGCTATTATAGACATGAAAGAGAAAATAAAAATGATGGTATTAAATTTTAAATTATTATTTTACGCATTTAACCGAGTCGTTCCAAATTGTCTGCTCTGCTAATATATCTCTTCTTAATTATCTTGTTGTGTTTCACATACAAGGTAAAGAGAAATTGAACTACTGTAACTGTCGTCAATATTAGGAACAGTAACTTTATGAATTCGAGTTTTTCGGTGAGATCTACGATTTTTACGTTATTGACCCATTGGCCGTATTGTCATTGGTTTGGATATCATCTGAGCCGAAGCAACCCATTTTTAGGCAGTTCAAATTCTATATCATTTTATAAGAAATATATTTATGGAATTTTTTAAAAATAAAAAAAAATCTGGTGATATACACTTGCAGAATATTCTGTAAATTGTATTCTCCAAATTATAACCCATAGAAAATCCAAACTTCCTAACTTTACGAACACTAAAGTTATGGCATTTCCGATGACGGCTATAGGATATAGTCGGCCGATCCTTATGAAATTTGGTAGGTCGGATTGATTGTCCAAAAATAAAACCCACAGAATATTCAAATTTCCTAACTTTACAAACACCAAAGTTATGGCATTTCCGATCAATCAGTTATATAGCGGCTATATGAAATAGTCGTCCGACTTATATACTGCGTGTAAGGGAACGAAGGGTAGAAAGGTAGTTCGCGTAGAAACAGACAGACGCACAGACGGACAAACAGACGGACAGACGGACGGACATACGGACGGACATACGGACATGCTTATATCAACTCAGGACGCGATCCTGATCAAGAATATGTAGGTGGCACAAATACGTCTTATTGATTCAGTGGTCGCAGCAAATACGTCTTATTGATTCAGTGGTCGCAGCAAAAGTGAGTTTATTCGTTTCCAAATTATGCGTGCTTAGCCTATTTCACAAGAGTGGAACTTAAACTGATCGTACGTGCGAGACCGAGATAGACATAATGTTCGGTTGATATTGCCCAAACTCCCTTGTAAGGAAGTGTTGACAGTTGAAAACCTTCACAATCCTCCAAGACATATCTATCATTACGCAGTACTTTAGTTACTCTATAAGGACCTTTAAACTATGGTATTAGTTTTTTTGACACTCCTATGTGAGATTCGAAATTTTTAATCATTACTAAATCCTCTTGCTGATACCTGTGAGGCTGTTTTCTATTAGAGTCTGTTTGCAACTTATTATACTCTTGTAACTTTCTTACTGCCTTTTTGTCTAATTTTCTCCAAGTTTCTAATTTCACTATCCTTATTTAATTCTTCCAAACTTTCCTTCAAGCTATCTATGACTTTGCCCTTTTGAGACACTCCGGACAAAACCTGACTTGGATGTTGATTAATCGATCTTTGAACTGTATTATTAAAGCATGTTTAACCAAAGACCAATATAAACTCCAAGATGCGTAACGCCATACGATTTTTTTGCACACGAATTTTTTGTGCTGGCTTTTCAACTGGCTTTTCGCTCTCTGCCCAAAAGCCAGCGAGAGAGCGCTCTAAAGCCAGCCGCTCTTTGCACGCATACTGCGACAGCCGACGAATGTATGTGTGCACATGTATTCACAAGCGAAGAAATTCGCTGCAGCGCGCTGTCGAAATATACTCTTTATTTTAAAATTATAACATTATTAACAAGAAAGGAAAGCGAACTTCGGGCGGAGCCGAAGTTGATATACCCTTGCAGAATACTCTGTAAATTATATTCTCCAAAATTATTCATACGATGCATTCTTAATACTCATAAAAAATCCCAACTTCCTAACTTTAAAAACACCAAAGTTATGGCATTTCCAATCGTTCAGTTATATGGCAGCTATAGGATATAGTCGGCCGATCCTTATGAAATTTAGTAGGTCGGATTGGCTGGCCAAATATAACACCCATAGAAAATCCCAACTTCCTAACTTTAGAAACACCAAAGTTATGGCATTTCCGATCAATCAGTTATATGGTAGCTATAGGATATAGTAGGCCGATCCTTATGAAATTTGGTATGTCGGATTGATTGGCCAAATATAAAACCCATAGGAAATCCCAACTTCCTAACTTGACAAACACCAAAGTTATGGCATTTCCGATCAATCAGTTATATGGCAGCTATAGGATATAGTCGGCCGATCCCGGCCGTTCCGACATATATACTGCGTGCAAAGGAAAGAAGGGTGTGTGCAAAGTTTCAATTCGATAGCTTTAAAACTGAGAGACTAGTTCGCGTAGAAACAGACAGACGGACAGACAGACGGACAGACGGACAGACGGACAGACGGACATGGCTATATCAACTCAGGAGGTGATCCTGATCAAGAATATATATACTTTATAGGGTCGGAGATGCCTCCTTCACTGCGTTGCACACTTTTGACCAAAATTATAATACCCTCTGCAAGGGTATAAATATGTGGTATTTTTATATTATACGTATTATAATAACATTATATAAAATTATTATCATAATATAAATTAAATTTATATAAATATTTGTAAATTAACTATTTTAATTATTTAGAAAAAAGAGAAACCCAAAGGGGAAACAAAAAAGGTTTAAATAATTTAAGTAGTCAATATATTGAATATACTATTTAATAATTAAAATAGTTAATATATTAATTATTTTACCTAATTAAAATAGTTAATATACAAATACATACTTAAATATTATATATAAATTTTATAAAAATTACCCATTTTTAGTATTTTGGGTGAATTGTAAGCGACACTAATAAATAAATAATATTTTATTGAAAAATAAAAAAAATGGCACCGAAAAAACATTCTAAAAAATATAACAAAACGCTTTCGACAACTTGGAAAAAAGTTATAAATGAAAAATCCTGTAGCTTAGTTTTATAATTAAGCATTCAATTCGTGTTATTATAAATAGTTTAACTTTTTATAAAATTATAATATTAGCTTTAAATATTTATTAGGTATACAAAAAAAAAAACGATGGATAAATAAAAATGAATATCTGCATATTAAATTAAATGTTTCGTTTTATATATTTCAATTAATTATAAAAACATACCTTTTAACACAAAACATATAAAACTGCTTGAGTAAATAAGAATAGATTAAAATGCAGGTTGATAATATTAGATATGATGTTATTCGTATTTACTTAAAATTTCTAAAGTCATTAGATCAAAGTTTAATATATTTGAATACAAATTAAATTTAATATTTCCATTTTAAAGTTAATAAAAACAGCCATGGATAAAAAAAAGCGAAATATATTTAATTAAATATCCTTTAAATATATTCAATTTAAATATAGTTCGCTTTGTTTTTGTTTAACAATCATAGTATATTCAAACCTCTAAAACTTTATTGAAATATTTTTAAATTTAATCAAGCAGTTTTATATGTTTTGTATTAAAAGTTATGTTTTTAGCTTTAATTTAAATATGTAAAACGAAACTTTGAATTAAATATGCAGATATTAATTTTTAAGGTATATAAAAAAGTTTTACATCAAGCTTCATTGCCATATATATGTACATAAATGCAATTTAAATAATCATCCTGTTCAATCATAGAAGTTCTTTTGACACACAATTAGTTTCTTGGTCCAGAAATGATTTCTGGACGAAAATCGTCTTCTCGAACAAATACGCACACATACGCACTTCCTTATTCGTGCAATTCTATTTTTAGATTTTTACGCTCTCAACTTTGTGCGAGCGGAGAGAGCGGAATTTTCGTTGCCACCAAAAAACGAGCTGCATATTGCAAAACCAATGTATGGGCGTTACGCATCTTAGTGATTATATTGGTCTTTGGTTTAACCGTTCCTAAAACTGTATCCCAGTATCATCCTTTCCCTGGTTCGGTCAATTTAGCAATCATGGGGCCAATGCTTCTATTTA